TAAAAAATCTTAAAGAAATAGATTATAAACAATCGATATATAAAAAACGTAATTTAAATTAAATTTAACTAAAAAAATCTAACAAAATCTTGAAGTAATTGATTTAAAAGAAAAACAAATTTTAAATTAAATTTACCTGATGAAATCTTAAAACAAACAAATAATTAAAACCAATTTAACTAATTATTATTAAACATTTAAATTTTAGAAAAGTTTAATTCTTATCATTTTGTTCAAAAAAGGGGAAAAATAAACAAACGTCAGAATTAAATTTAACTATAAAAATCTAATAAAATCTTATTGAAATAGATTATAAACCGTCCATTTATAAAAAACTTAATTCTTAAACTAAATTTAACTAAAAAAATCTAACAAAATATTAAAGAAACATATAATCGATTTAAAAAAACAAAATTTAACTAAAGATCTAACAAAATCTTCAAGTAATTGATTTAAAAGAAAAATAAATTTTAAATTAAATTTAATTAACCAAATCTTAAAACAAACTAATAAAGGAAAATCAATTTAACTCATTATTATTAAACATTTAAATTTTAAACTAAATCTAATTTTTTTAAAATTATTTCATACTTTATATATATCTATACTTCACATATTTTTATCTTGACTATATTTTTATAAGTATATTACTTATATGATTAGAACTGATGGCTATAAGTGATTAGTTATAGGTTAATTAAGCTACAATTGAAGTATTGTTTACTAATTTAAAAATTTTCCATCAATATCCACTATTTTCGTAATTTTTTCAGAAATATCTATCGACATCGACATGTCCGTAAAATCGAGATCTCGACATTTCCATCGATATCGACATTTTGAACCTTGGTCGTATCGGACATCGCAATGAGCTCAGCATTGATAAAGGAAGAGAATGGACGACAGTTTCCAATCTACTACACAAGCAAAACAATGGTGGATGCAGAGGTTAGATACCCACAAGTGGAAAAATTGACATTGGCATTGGTCACCTCGACTCGGAGGTTACGCCTATATTTCTAGGCCCATAATGTAACTGTCATCACCAACTTCCCTCTACGGCAGATTTTGCAAAGGCTCGAAAGTTCTGGGCGGTTGGTAAAGTGGGCCATAGAGCTCAGCGAATACGACATCCACTACAAACCGAGGACTGCGATGAAAGGACAAGCCGTAGCAGACTTCATAGCAGAGTTAACGCTGGCAAAACATCAAATATGTAGCATTAATCCACAACTAGTTGAGGGAGAGCAGCCCTGTACCCTTTACGTATATGGATCCTCAAACTTTAGAGGATGCGAGGCAGGACTTCTACTGGTCTCCCCAGATAGGAGAGATTTGAATATGCACTACGGTTTAGTTTTCACGCATCCAACAACGAGGCTGAATACGAGGCTCTATTAGCAAGGTTAAAAGTAGCTAGGTACGTTGGGGTCATGAACATAAGTGATTCATAGTTGATTGTAAGTCAGGTGAAAGAAGAGTTCCAGACTAGAGAGCCACGGATGGCAAAGTATCTTTCTCGGGTAAGAGACCAGCTCAGCCAATTCTCGAAATATGAGATCCGACAAATTCCTCGTGTCTAGAATGTCAACGCAGATGCATTAGTCCAACTAGCTACAACCTATGAAACCGACCTAGGAAGAACTGTGCCGGTAGAAATTTTGTCCGAGCCGAGCATAGAGGTTCAGGAGACAATGTAAATAGACGAGCAAGGGCAACCAGAGGAGAACTGGATGAGCCCTCTGATCAAATATTTAAGGGATGGGACCCTACCTGATAAAAGGATAGAGGCCCAACAACTCCAACGGCGAGCAGCTAGGTATGTACTTAGAGATGGAAACTTATAATTAAAGAAGCTACTCTTTGCTGCTTTTAAAATGTTTAGCACCAGAAGAAGCCGACTATGTCATGAGAGAGATACACGAGGGCGTTTGCGATAACCATTCTGGAGCACAATCCCTAAGCCACAAAATCGTCCGACAAGGGTATTACTGGCCGACCATGCTAAATGATGCAACATAGTTCGCGAGAAAATGCGACAAATGTCAGTGGTTACAACAGTACCTAGGCAATTGCCAGAACCATTAACAAGCATAATGAGTCCCTAGCCTTTTGTCCAACAGGGGATAAACCTTATAGGGCCCCTCTCACAAGGAAAGGGTTAAACCAAGTTTGTAGTGGTAGCATTTGATTATTTCACCAAATGGGCCGAAGCCAAAGCCCTAGCTACAATCATCGAGAAAAATATCACCGACTTTATTTGGAGAAGCATAATTTGCCGCTTTGGGGTACTGTACACTATTATCAGTGATAATGGAAAGCAATTCGACAATGCAGCTTTTTGAGACTTTTGCAGGGAGCTGGGCATCAAGCATATCTGCTCTTCGCCAGCACACCCACAAGTTAATGGACAAGTCAAAACAGTCAACAAAATCATCAAAAGAACTCTAAAAACCAGATTAGAGAAACTTAAGGGATTATGAGTGGAAGAACTTCCCATCGCATTGTGGGCCTACATAACAACATCATGCACATCAACTAGCAATACATTCTCATTATCGTTTGGTTCTGAGGCAATAGTGCCAGTAGAGATCGGCCTTTCTTCCTCAAGGGTAGAACAATTCAGCCTACCTGAAAATGACGAGTCCATACAGCTTAACCTCGATCTACTAGAAGAACATCGAGAAACATAGTGACTACGAATGGCCGAGTACAAAAATCGGATCGTTCGATATTATGATTCGAAGGTTAAGAAGCGTAACTTCAAAGAAGGCGACCTGGTCCTGAGGAAAGTACTGCCTAATACCAACGATTCAACCAGCGGGGTTCTCAGACCAACATGTGAGGGCCCATACAAAGTCACTAAAGTGGTTCGGACGGGCACCTACGCCTTGGAAGACCCGCGTGGGAAGATCTTACCTCATCCATGGCATGCTCAACACCTCAAAAGATACTACCATTAGCTTGGTGATACATTCCATTTATTTTATGAGCGTTTTATGTTTTAACACTCGTTTATCTCAATTGACTGGGTTATTTTATTGTACCTAGTTCTCTACCTGAACAGTTTTCATTTTAATAAAGTTTACGCCATTTGACATGGTACTTGAGCTCTTATGTTTGTGTGAAAACAAATTTCTTAAGTAGGGGGCATTGTGTGTAAATATCTACAACTGATCAAGAAACTTATAAGGGAAAAACCTAGAAGCAAGCCAGAAAAGGCTCAGCATGGTCAAAACTAAAGCAGGCAAATAAAAGGTCAGGATATAAAACCGTTGGGCAAATGTCAAACAGGTTGGAAATCCAAAGACTTCGACACCAGCTCTGCTAAAGTTAGATCCCAAGATCAAAAATGAATGATAAAAACCAGATGGGTGAGAAACCAGGCCCTAGAGACTTGATCATGACTAGTCAACTTAACAAAACATGAAAATCGGAAAGACTTCCAATTCATGAGACAACACAATAGCAATACACAACCAGTAGCAGAAACCAGGCGTTTTAAAATCCAAAAACTGGATGCAAAAGCTTTTTGTTAAAAGCTCAGTGGGTTAAGAACCTTGGCATAATTAACATTGTTGAAGAGTCCAACAACTGGTTACGTATATAAACTACTTTGTAGTATGGCCTCACAACAACAACGGGTAACGAGTACTCTCAAAACAGGAATCTAACATGGTCACAACCTTCATCTTCAGTTTTGAGAGTGGGGGCTACTTTTATATGGAGCAATACGGTTCATATGGCAATAGGGGTATGGACCATACAAGAAGAAGGACAACCGGGACCACCGACAGCAGGGGCCGACCCACTGGAGAGCCGATCCCACCACGACGTCAAGGCACCGAGCCCTTCTCGGCCTTAGGTCAAGAAGGTTCTCGACCTTTCTCTCTCTCTCGGTTCTCATGCCAATCAAATGATGTTGGGGCCCAAGCCTCGATTAAAGGGCCCGTAAGTGTCACGACCCAGTGAGCCGACTATCTGGAGAGGACCTAGGGTTAGAGTTCGTGAAACCCTAGGAGGAAGATCAACCATAAATAGAGAAGGAACCACCCATTGAAGGTAAGCCAAATTATACTTTCAAGTGCCTTACTTGCTTAGTGATTTCTCCCATAGCTGATTTAAGCATCGGAGCCAGTGTGACTGAAGTCACACCGGTTTAGGATTGTTCGGTTTTGCAAGTATCCAGTCTGTTGATAATTGAGTTTGGTGCAGATTTTGGAGTGAACTGGTCTACCAAAATCCAAGCATCAACAACATCTATCATATATTAGAAACACTGTTATCCATTTGTTAAAAAATTAGGATAACATTGAAAATCAAATCCTGTTAAACTTCGAGTTTGCACCACCCCCATTCAAAATGGTAATATTGTTGGGGTTGCAAGGTGTGCAAATAAACTCTGACATTGATTAGGGAATAGAATGATCTATAATATATAGATGAGGACAATTATCTCTCTTATGATTTTAAGTGAAACCAAAAGTAAAATCGTGAGGATTATATCGAAAATAAACAATATCATAAGAGATACTTGGATCGTCACATAATGACACCAAGTGTACCGATCTTAAAAAATATTTGTCAAAACTACCCTTTTCTAAATTACCAAAATATATATATAAATACTACTGCTACAACGACAACAACAAAGAAAAAAAAAAGAAAAAAAAGAGCCTGAATATGCCAATGCATAATGATTTATTTGTGGTAACATCATTAATTGCTCGATTTCAGTTTTACATGTCTTTTATGGAACAAGGATATTATAATAACAATAATGAGAGTAATAAATAAAGTAGAAGTAGGAGAAAAAAAACATTAAATTTTTTTCTTTTGAATTGTCAAATAGATTTGAAAGAAGAAAAAAAAAGTAACATGGTCTATGTGGTGGGACCCACCTGCAAATCTGTGACAGAGACGGCAGTTTCATTTCTCTGCTTCCTGTTGCCTCCTCTGCTCTGCATCTGCTCCTCTTATAATTCAAAAATTACCAAAAAAAAAAAAAAAAAAACAGAATCTCTCTCCTCGCCCAATTTCTTCTTCTTCTTCATCTTCCAACAGTGGGTTTTGAGAAAATTCTCTCACTTCCCAGTTCTTGTTCTTCCCCTTCTCTCTAGAAATCATCCTTTTTTTTTTCAAAAGGAGAGAGAGAAAAAGAGGAAAGAGGGGGAACGCTTTATATGCCTTTGGGTGTGTGAAAATTCTCTCTCTCACTTTATTAAAATCATGGCAGAAGAATCTTCAATCTAGGGTTCGTTCTTCGGACCAACTTCCGATCCCAATTCCCCCCAGTTCTTAATCGCCTCTTTTCCTGAGGTTTTTCGCCCCCCGTTATGGTTAATTTCAGCTAGGTCTTTCGGATTTCACGATTAGGGGTTTTTTTGTTTCTGTTCTGTTTCCGATGGAAGAGGTTGAAGAAGCTAATAAAGCGGCCGTGGAGAGCTGCCACAGAGTGCTGAATCTGCTGTCTACGCCGCCGCAAGATCAGTCGAAGCTCAGAAGTTTAATGGCGGAAACAGGGGAGGCTGTGTTCAAGTTTAGGAAAGTTGTGTCGCTTCTGAATTCTTCTGGGTTGGGTCATGCAAGGGTTAGGAAGCAGCTCAAGAAGTTTCAGTTTCAGTTTCAGTTTCAGTTTCAGTCTCAGTCTCAGTCTTCCCCTTTTCTTCCCCGCACCATGTTGTTGGAAAATCCCCCAAATTGCAGAACGGACCTCCTCCAGGGGAAGAATTTGCAGATGGGTCCTCTCTGTTTGAGCTCAAATGGGAAGAGTTCTCTCCAACAAGCTCAATCTGCTTCTGCCCACTATCACCACTTCCTTCAGCAGCAGCAGCAGACTAGGGTGTTGCTTCAGAATAATCCACAGGCTGAAATGATGTATCATCTTAGGGGGAATAATAGTGGGATTAACTTGAATTTTGATAGCTCTAGCTGCACACACACAATGTCATCAACTAGGTCCTTCATTTCCTCCTTGAGCATTGATGGGAGTGTGGCGAATTTGGATGGGAGTGGCGCGTTCCATTTGATCGGGGCGCCCCGGTCCTCAGATCAGAATTCCCATCATAAGAGGAAGTGCAGTGGGAGAGGGGAAGATGGGAGTGTAAAATGTGGAAGCAGTGGAAGATGTCACTGCTCAAAGAAGAGGTTGGGAAGCTGTGGTTTTGATATCGGAATGCGGATGGTTTGATACGGTTTTCTGATTTGATTTGTTCGATGATGTTCTTGCAGGAAACATAGAGTGAAGCGGTCGATTAAGGTGCCTGCGATAAGTAACAAGCTTGCGGATATCCCTCCTGATGATTATTCATGGAGGAAATATGGCCAGAAGCCAATCAAGGGATCTCCTCACCCGAGGTATAGGACTATTCTTTCGCGCCTTTTCAGCTTATCATGATGCTTATTTCGATCTAGATTGATAGGTTTTCGCAAATGTAATTAGCTGATTAATTATATGGATTGATTGGGGGAGGGGGAGGTTGTATAATTGGCATCAATGAAATATTTGCACTCTTACTTTTGGTTTTGACATTACTTTATGGATTGAAATATCTCTTGCCATTTCAATTATAGTAATGTAGTTGGGATATTGAAAACTTGCTTTGTTTATTTACTCGTGTGCTCGGAATAGAGTACGCCGTTGAACTCTCCACCTGGGGGTAGTCCATTTTGTGGCCTTTATAGAAAAGGAATTAGTGTTGTTCATTTCACATATTGTATGATTTTGGCAAATTGTTACGAGGCTCCCATGTATCTCATTCTGCTAAATACTTAACACAGTTACTGTAATTTCAACCTGAAATTCAAGAGGGACAGGAGTTCCATGGATGCATCAATGATTATATATCATATAAAATTTGTTCCTTCATGTCGATCTTAATCTACTTTCGAACATCTGCAGGGGATACTATAAGTGCAGCAGCATGAGAGGTTGTCCAGCGAGGAAGCACGTCGAGAGGTGTCTCGAGGAACCTTCAATGCTCATTGTAACATATGAAGGTGAACACAACCATCCCAGAATACCTTCTCAATCTGCAAATACATGAAAACTCCACGAAGACAACTACACCGCCCGAATGTGATTTGAAGATCTCCGCATAATGTAGCGGAACCGAGACAAGCGTCCCCGAGTGTTGCTGTACATATGGAATACTTTTTGGAGCAGCATTGTAGCGTTTTTTGAGAGGTGGGTTTCATTGCAAAAGCCTCTTTTAAATGATTTGGGAAGCAGTCAGAATCAAGAGATGGGTTACGTGGATTAGGGTGTGAATGTAAAATCTTGAAAACTTTCATCCTTTTCTGCAATCAGTGCCTGAAAACAGCTTTGTTATTCTAAATGAATGGAGGAGTCCTTCTAGTTTGGAATTTCAGGTTTTTTCTTTTAATTCCTTTTTTTATTTTTTATTTTTTGGTCCCTAATTTTTGTTCATTTTGCATAAAAAGTTAGTTTTGGTTCCTATGGTTACTTTGACTTTGTTAAGTAGTCATTTACTATGCCAAATCGAGCATAGCTCAAGTAGTTAAGATACCTATCGCTCCTATTCAACAATACGAATCTCTTTCTAATAGTTGAGTCTCTTTCCCGTGGAACTCTTGTTGTAGTGTGAGTTTTGAAAAGCATGGCTCGCTCTTGACTCATTGAGAAAGGCTAAAGGGTCATGATTAAGATAGGATCTAATTACGTCGACCTTGAAAAAGTCTATCCAATTGAGGCCTGCTAAAGAGATTTAAAACTAATCAATCTCTTAGGTCATTTGAACCTATGTGAACTAGAGGAGATGAAGCTTTTCTTAGTAAAGTTATATCCATGGGTCAATAAACTACATGATAATTATAATCACACTCTTGAACATTCTGTTCGAACAATTATTCTGGTAAACTACGTGATAATTATAATCACACTCTTAAACATTCTATTCGAACAATTATTTTGGCAAAGTTACAATGAGTATGTTCATTATTTAGAAGGCAGAGGTTTAATCCTCGTCCCCATATTTGTTGCACTAAAAAAGTTACAAAATCATTGTAATTAAATTATATTGTTTTTATAAAGCTTAATTAAACTATTTTTAGTAATATATATATATATATATATATATATAGAGTGGGTGTGGATTCGAACTCTCAACCTTTTGGTCGGAGATAAATCTTTTAACCCATTGGACTAACATAATAATTTATATTGTTATTTTTAAAAAAAAACTAACTTTAGGATTGTTTTTTTTTTTAAATTTAAAATTCGAGAGAACGACAACAAGAAATGATCACTTAGTGTTAAGGATCTTACATTGAAAAGAAAATGGATATTACATAGGTTTATAATAGACATTCTCCTCTCATTGTTAATTGGTTTTGAGATAGAACCACATGAATATTAATATGGTATCAGATCCCAAAACGCTCAAACGAACAACCGATCCAAGAAACAATTACCAATGGACTTAAGAGTTGGTTAGGTCAATGTTCATAATTTGAAGTCAAAAAATGTTATAAAAAGAAAAAATATAATGATTTGTTTGGAGAAAGAAAGTTGAGTGAGTGAGTGAGTGAGTTGAGATGGGAACATCCCAACTTCCAATACCTAACATAACATTATACATCATTAATCCATGTTTGGTGATGTGTTAATAGGAACATATATTTTTTCTTTGGAATTTTGAAAATGAAAGTGAAGAATTGAGAGTGCATTTAATTGAATTTTTATGAAGAGTTTAAAAGGGGACCATATATGTTTTCTCCTACCCTACAAAACATAAGGAATCTATGTCAATGCTATCCTGGGTGCAAAACAAAAAAATTTAAAGACGGTCTCCGTTTCTTATTTCTATTTCTTCATTTTTAATTAAGAAAAAATAGAATGACATCATCCCAATACCCATAGATTCAAGAATGATAAAATTATAAATATATTTTTTAAAATATTTTTGGAACAAATTGGAAACGGGAACAAAAAATAATAAACTTGTTTTTGTTGTTTCTAAAATTTCAGTACAATTTTGAGGATGTTTCTAAAAAAATGAGAATAAAGTAACATAAGTAGTTGTTAAATGGTTGAGTTTTTTAATAAAATTGGAATCGAAAAATAAGAAACAGAAACACGTTATCAAAAGGGCTGTAACTTTCCATGTTTGGTAAGGACTTATTCGATAATGTTCTCGTTTTTTGTTTTTTGTTATTTTTTTTGTTATTTTTTTATTTCTCATTTCTAATCTTTTAGAAATATGAGTGTTTGGTAACTATACCTATTTTTCATATCTCGTTTCCAGAGGAAACGTTTTCAAAATTTTCATGTTTTTTCGTTTTTTTCTTTTTTGAAGATGTTATTTTGTTCTTCTTGCTAACTTTTTTCTAAAACATAAATAAAAACATAATTTTACCGTTCTAGATTTATAAAATGCATAATAAATATAACATACAAAATTTGAATATTTAATATTAAAAAAATTTATTTATTTATTTTAATTTTAGAGAATGGGAACAATAGTTTCTATTTCTTTTGTCAATAAAAAAAATGTTACCAAATGCATGTTCAGTTTCTGTATAATACTTGAATTGGGTTCCATTCATATTTTTGCATGTCGAATGCTAATTTCGATATAATATGGTAGTTCCATTCACCTACGATGATATCATTGTAGATGGCAATTTACCAACCATTAATGTTCTAACTAGGTCATCGTGTGTAAGTTATGATGACGATTGGTTAGATGCATGGCAGTGTACAAGCGTCATCGTTTAATAGCTAGCCACTATTGAAAAGTACGATAACACTAAAAAAGATGACGATCTTTTAAATATCTTCGCCAGAAGAAAAGCGATTTTTGTTATAATGAGTAGATGAAGGAAAATAGAAAGAATAACAAATGAAATAACTCAGACAAATTTTTTACTCTAGCCAGTAGAAGAGCACAAAGAGTCAAAACTTGAAAATGAAAAATTGGTGTTAATTAACCCACCTACATTTTATCTCCTTTTGCTTCTCCATTTTTCTAAGTGCTTGTAGATAAAAGGTAGCTTTCTTGACAACTAATTGGAAGGCTTCACCCAAAACCACACCACCATTCTCATGCAAAAGCACTTTGAAATTCCTCCGCTAATTTTTTTTCCAGTAAAACGTATGAGTTTGGAGATTCGAACTTGCGATCTTTTGGTTGGACATAGATCCTTTAACCTATTGAGCTATGTTCAAGTTGGCAGGATAATCTTACAACTTGTCATTTAAAGAATGACTTTTTGAAGACAAAAAAAAATATTGGTTAAAAAACACATTTGGTCCTTGTACTTTCATTAAAATAACGATTTAGTCCTTGTAATTTCACTAAAGTAACAATTTAGTTCTCGAAATTTATTTTGTAACGATTTAGTCTTTGGAGTTTAAAATTTGTAACAACTTAGTCCTATCGTGAAAAATCTTATTAAAATTAAGTGTCAAGTTTTATCATATAACATTTTAATCTTTCTAATTTATAAACATGTTTGGTCCCTCATTGGCTTATCAATCTATATATATAAGAAACTTAACAAAAAAAATTTCACGATAAGGAGTATAAATCGTTACAAACTTTAAATTACAAGGACCAAATTGTTACATATTAAAGTTCGGGAACTAAATTGTTACCAATTTAAAAATACAGGACTAAATTGTTACACGATAAAGTTCAAGGACTAAATCGTTACTTTAACTAAAGTACAGGGACCAAAAATAATTTTTAACCATTTTAGCTAGTTTAAAATACTTCTTGAAAATATTGATGGTGTTTTCCCGGATTAGTGATTTTCAAAATTATAAAAACATGGTTTGAGAGTTTTTTCAATGTGACATTTTTGTCATGTCCAAATCACTTCTTCCCAGAGTACTTTTATCTCAAATATTTACTTGGAAGGTAATTTACTAAAAATACTTTTAATTTAATAATTTTTTTGCTAAAAGCACCCCAACCTACCATTAAAATGTATTTAAAGTACTTTGAAGAAAAAGCACTTACGAAATGCCTCCTTAAAAGAATACTCATGAATGAGCATTTCACTTTAAAACACTTTTCACCATCTCAAAAGTCATCAATATATGTTCGAAGCAAAATGTTGTCGAATTAGAATATGAATTAAAAATGTTTGGAAAAGCTCTATTGTAATCTCGCGAGGTAATCCATATCAATGTAATAAAAGTGTAGGGCCAGTGCAGGGCCTACAGTGATCAAGAATCACGAAGATGTCGACTTTGAGTTGCTATACAATCTCAAGATTGCTTCAATTAAACTCTCCTGTTCGAACAACACGAATTGAATCGTGGGAGATTTTCGCCCCCTACTTTCGAAAGGTGGTAGAGAGAATCTTTGTGTTGAGTTGACCCATATGCTTGTACAGCCAACATCAATTATTAAGTTGCTCTTCTGTTTCTTTTGGAGCTTTCCTTAGAAACTATTCTATTCATGAGTCACATCCAATCCAAATATCCATCCTACTATTTTATTAACTTCTACATATATATATATATATATATATTGTCTTCTTTCTCAAAACTGTCATAAAAATTAAGAGGACGTTTGTATTTAACCAACGAGGTAATCATATGCTTCGCTCATGTTAAACTATCAAACTACTTGTGGACTAAAATTATCAGTATTCTATGAGATCCGATAGTATGGTAGCTCTTGAGTGTAAAGATAGAAGGGAGCTTGACTGCAAGACCCACCTGTCGAGCAGGGATCGGGTTATTTTATTTCATCTCTTAGGAAGAAAAAAAAATACAGTTCAAACTTTGTTTATTGTTCTCCAATTCATGGATTGTTTTAGTGAGTATATTCATTTGACATATTTATTTCTTAAAATTATTTTTTGATTATGTGGTCTAAAATTATGTCAAACAACATTTTTATGTTTTAATATTTTTAGATTTTGAATTTGAAACTTTAACACATACCCTTATATTATAAAAGACAAAATTTTTTATAAATATGTTTTTTCACGTTATAAACTCATTTTATTTTTGTTAAAATTAAAACATGTAAATTGTCCATCTTTTTGATATAATAGTAAGACATCCTCCAAATAATTCAAAATAATATACTATAAATTATATAATATTGTAAAATACAAGTTAAAACATATACTATTTATTTATTTATTTATTTAATAATATTTAGATTGAATTAAATATTTAGGTTATAACAACTATCAGTTACAAATACATTACCAAATACATCTTAAACAATTTTTCAACTTGAGATCTAATTTTTAAATATGCTACCAAACACATATTTCAAAATGCTGAAAACATATCACTCTATTTTTCCTTTGTTTTTAGATTTTTGTATTTGTATTTAAGTCACAAATAAAGTGCACCTTTAACAACTCATTTAAAAGATTAATTATTTCATCAATATCTTGGGAGAGAAAAAAAAACTAAATCAAAGATACCTCAGTTTAGTTTATCAATAAATTCGATTTCTTTTCTGAGTATGAGAT